TCATCATCAGCAGCAGTAGCAGCAGCAGCAGTAGTAGCAGAAGTAGCTGCACCTACCTCAGTTTTCCCTCATCACTCTCGCTATAACTTCTTGTCAAGACTGGTTTCTTGCCGGCCGTGAAATTCACCATGATGATGATGATGATGATGATGATGATGATGATGATAATAATAATAATAAAAGTAATAGTCCCAAAACAAACAGCAATTATAATAAAATGAGATAAATATTAATAATATTATTATTATCAAATATTCGAATAATGATTAGCAAACAAGTTGAAGAACAAACGAACGAACGAACGAACGAACGAACGAAAGAGCAGATGAACAAAAAAATGAACGATGAACCATCAAACGAACGATGAACCATCAAACGAACGAACGAACGAAGAATTGAATATGATCAAACATATGAGCATAAATACATGAAAACAACTGCATATAAATACAGAGAGACGCCTATAAATAGTATATATATATATATTTATATGTGTGTGTGTGTATATTGGTCAGGATAAGCAAATACATAGACAAACGCATGATCTGTAAACATTATAATACCAAATGTGTGTGTGTGCGTGTGTGTATGTGTGTGTGAGCGTGTGTGTACGTGTATGTACGTGTGATGTCAGAGAGAAAAAGTCCTTGATTATTCGGGAAAAATATAGGAAGATCGATAGTTGAATAGATGGACAGATGAATGGATGGATGGACAGATGCATGAGTGAATGAATGAATGAATGAGTGAATGAATGAATGAGTGAATGAATGAATAGATAGATGAGTAAATAAATGGATAAATTAATGAATGAGTGAATGAACGAATGAATAAATAAATAAAAGAAGAACCAATAAATAAAAAAACATCAAAATCGAAAAATTGATTGCAGTTGAGCAAAATAAAATTAAACCGTCAGAGAGAGACAGAGAGAAGCAGAGAGAGAGAGAGAGAGAGAGAGAGAGAGAGAGAGAGAGAGAGAGAGAGAGAGAGAGAGAGAGAGAGAGAGAAAGAGAGAGAGAGAGAGAGAAAAGAGAGAAAAAAAAGAGAGAGAACGCCAAACATTGTCAAATGAAAGTCACTAGGATATAACAATATCAATATGAGCTTGTATTATTTGCGTCGTAAAAGAACTATTTATCATCGTTGCCGTCCGTTACAAACGCGCCCGTAGCCACTACTACTACTACCACTACTACTACTACTACCACCACTACGGCTACTACAACTACTACTGCAGCTACTACAACTACACTGAAGCTACTACTACAAGTTGAATCTTTTGTTGACGTTTAAAAAAAATGTCAGAGGCCGTTTTTGTTGATTTTATTACCTTTTGTTGTCAAAAACAATAAATAATATTTAGTAGGATCGGGTTAATTTTTTTTTGATAAAAAAAATTATACACAAATTAATCAATCAATGAATTTACGTAAGTCATGATAATGATGATAGTAATAACAATAATAATAATACCGATGATGATGATGACGATGGTAGGAATACCCCTAATGAAAATGTGGCGTGATGTTTTTGAAGCTGGTTACTCATCCCCACCATCATCATTACCCTCACCATCATCATCATCATCAATACCATCATCATCATCATCATCCGTAATGTGAAGGACCCTAACCGCCAAAACTAACGGTATAAATAACAATAAATAAAAATAGAACATGACAAAAATAAACTACTAAAAATAACCGACCAATCAAGTGCGAGAGCTCATCATTATGATAATTTATTAATTTATTCAATCTAATAAATTAATATTTATAAATGAAGATAACTGAGGCAAACGAATGGTTCGTTACAAGCATCAATATGTTAATGTGTGTAAAAACATTGTAAAGATCTGCGTTTCGTTTTGTAGCCTTTTATTCATTCATTCTCACTCACTCACTCTCTCTCTCACTCTTTCTCTCTCTCTCTCTCTCTCTCTTTTTCTTCTTCCTCTACTTAATTTTAAAATCTACAAATAGATACAAAGATACACAAACATGAGTTGCGAATATTAATTGGTTTATTTATAGAGGCTGGGGAATTCCAGTACTTCCACTTATTATGCCCGGTCTGTGTTTCTGTTTCCTCTGTTCGTTCATCTGAAGTTGGTGATGATGATGGTGATGATGATGATGTCGGTGGTGGTGGTGATGATGGCGTTGTCGTTGATGATGAAATCACTTGAAAAACAAACAGTCAATGAGTCATTAATAACGCGGTCAACCAATCAGAAACCTGCTCTTTGAGCTCTGCAAGCTGATTGGATAGCTGAGCAATTATGCCGTGGGTCTTGACCAATTGGATTTTGAGATTCGTTATGTCGTTCTGCTCTGTCTCGTTCTCATTGGTCGACAGACTCATGGCCCTCATTCTCGGGAACCAATCAAGGTTTTTCTCCTGGTCACGAAGATGATGGCGATGATGGTGATAATGGTGATGATGATGGTGTTGTCGATGATGATAATGGTTGAAATAAGTTAATAATAATAATTTATTATGCGACCTTGACCTACCTTGATCATTGCGTGTACGTAACTTTCGGGACCGGTAAACTCCGTGGGGTCTTTTACCTAGAATTGAATGAGTGAATGAATGAATGAACGAGTGAATGAGTAAATGAGTGAATGAGTGAATGAATGAATGAATGAATGAATGAATGAATGAATGAATAATGAATTAATCAATCAATCAAAAAATAGAAACTGTTATCACAATCTCACATTGAAAATATCGATTGGACTGATAAAATTAATCGACTGACTGATTGATAGATTGACTGATAGACTGATTGATTGATTAATTGATTGAATGATTGATCAAATTTTTGATTGAATGATTGATTGAATTAGCCAACCAACCAACCAACCAACCAACCAACCAACCAACCAACCAACCAACCAGCCAGCCAGCCAGCCAGCCAGCCAGCCAGCCAGCCAGCCAGCCAGCCAACCAACCAACCAACCAACCAACCAACCAACCAACAACCAACCTTGACGAGTATGACAAAGTAGAGATAGTGCCACATGTTATGTTCTTGCTTGCAGTGCTCCTCAAATGAAACGGTCTTGTTATCAAATGCTGCCCTTTCAAGTCCTGATGATGATGGTGGCGACGACAATACACACAGACATACACACACACACACACACACACACACACACACACACACACACACACACACACACACACACACACACACACACACACACACACAGATCACAGACACACACACACACATAAAACCAACCACAGATGAAACATGAATTCTTCAAAATCTCTTCCTTCTGCTGTTTCTCGCTCCTCAAATCGGCGAAAGTGTCGATGATGACACCAAAGATCAAGTTTAAGGTGATGATGATGACGATGAAGAAGAAGAGGAGGTCGTAGATCACGCGCGGGAAGAACAAGGGCTCCTGATATTGATGAAAAAGTGATGCTGACGACAACGATTACGAAAAGTGTCGAAATTAACTGAAACGAGTCGAAATGTGAATTATTTTCAAACATTAATTAACATTGAAATACAATATTGACGAAGGTCAGGAATCGAACATAACACCAACAACTGTACCAATTAATCGATACATTAATTAATTAAGCCGAATAATGAATTAATTTGGACAATTAATTGACGAATTAGGCTGAATAGTGAATAGATTTCGGCATTTTAACGATAGTTAGCAATTAGTATTATACTGCTCGATAAGAATCGAACCTACGCAGCTGGTCCCCCACAACTACCAATGATAATCTAAGTACAGGAATTCGGGTTCGATTTCGATTATTAATTAATTGAACGGCCTCAAAAAAAATTCCACTCCTGGCCTCAATACCTTATAACCATTCCACGATGAATTATCCACTATGAATTTTACCCCACGATGAATTATCCACTATGAATTTTACCACTCGATGAATTATCCACTATGAATTTTACCCCACAAATGAATTATCCACTATGAATTTTACCACTCGATGAATTATCCACTATGAATTTTACCCCACAAATGAATTATTCACTATGAATTTTACCCCACGATAAATTATCCACTATGAATTTTCCGTAAATCAATGTTCATCCAACCATCTATTTATTCATCAGTCACTCACTCATTAATTCAATCGATCATTCATTCACTCATACACTCACTCATCCATCCATCCATCAATTCACTCACTCATTCACTCACTCATTCACTCACATTACTGCTGGGTTTCCTTAGGACATCCCCAATCCCCCCTCCATTCCTCAGGCCCTCGTTCAGGGTGGTGACGATGCACATGATGAGTGAATCGCAGTGCCGCTCTTTACCATCATCATCATCATCGTCGTCGTCGTCGTCGTCCTCATTATTATTGTCGCCACCATCGTTGGTGATGATGTTTTTGTTGTTCGTGTAGTTGTTGCTGGCTGATTTGTTATTGGCTGGTTGGTTGGACGGATGGATAAATGGATGGATCAATGAATGAATGAATAGATGAATGAATGAATGAATAAATGAATGAATGAATGAATGAATAAATGAACGAACGAAGGAATGAATGAATGAATGAATGAACGGACAAACAAACAAACCAAAACAAATGAATTAATTAATTAATTAGAATATTTTAACAACTAAAATAAATTTTCCGCTAATAAAAATACAACTAATATATAAATCAACAACTGTTGTCATGAAGTCAGAAAACAACTTAAACGAAAATGCAACATTCGTCTACTCTGCCATTAAAAATGGAGGGAAACTGAATGCCAAATTTTGACCAATCGAATGATATCTACCAAAAATAACCAACCAATCAGATTGCAGTCAGTGGAGCCGGGCAGGCAGTAATCATCATCATTGAGACTTCTTCTCGAAAGTGTGGTGTTCAGTGTTGCTATTTATTATTATTATTATGTTATTATTATTATATTATTAAAACAACAACAACAACAGAAACAAAACAATAAATAACCATTTAATTTATCCACAGACGATGATGACGACGACGATGATGCTGACGACGACAACATCCTACCAACTGTACTCTCACTTTTCCCCTTCTCTAACGGATCGATCTCTATGAGAAAATCGTCCCTGAAAAAAGTGAACCCCACAATGGAGAAGAGGTAAATTAGGATGACGGCTAGCACGGCGGTCAGCAAGATGGAGCGTCCATTTTTCGTGACTGACCGGATGACGTTCAGCAGCGTTTCTTCTCTGTAGACGATGTCTAGTAGCTGTCGGTTGTTTGTGGTTGGTGTGGTTGGTGGCCGGAGAATTTCGATCATGAAGTTATTAAAGTCATCAATCTGTCAATCTATCTCTTGGGTCTGTCAGACAGTTATTTAGTATTTCAACCACGCTAACAATCTAATCAATCAACCAACCAGCCAACCAGCCAACCAACCAATCAACCAGCCAACCAACCAACCAACCAACCAACCAACCAACCAACCAACCAACCAACCAACCAACCAACCAACCAACCAACCAACCAACCAACCAAACAACCAACCAACCAACCAACCAACCAACCATCCAACCAACCAACCAACCAACCAACCAACCAACC